CGACGACGACGACGCAAGAGCGCGTGCGCACGTTTTTGTTGAAAATCCGTGTTGTGAAGCCCTATGTTTTTGTACGTGTTTTGGACATTCGATTTTGAAATCCTTCCGAAACCTGAAATGTTTAAACGATTTCGGCACGCGCGCGCGAAGCCGCGCGCGCGTGCATGTCGTCTAATAGTTTGCAAAGGATTCTCGCGACGGCACGCGCCCAAGGGCGTTCGAACGATTTCGGCATGCGCGCGCGAAGCCCGTTTGGTAGTATGTTTCGAACATATTGAAAAACCGATGGTTTTCGTAAGAGTTCGTAAGAGCGCGTGTATGTGTTTTGGAAACTCGATGTTGGAATCCTTCCGAAACAAGAAAGGTTTCTAAAAGATTCTGGCATGCACGTGCTACGACGCGCGCGTGTGCACTTCGTCACGTTTTTGTAAAGGATTCTTCAAAACTCATGATGTTTGATGAACGGGTGCGCGCGCATAGTATGTGTTGCAGAGGATGGCGGGGGGGGGGGGCGATACCGGTTTGGCTGGGATAATATGAATTCACAGGCAAGATGGACATTCCCATGTGTTTTGCATCGATTCCCGGTGGGTTTTTAATCCCGGGGGGGGGAGGGTGGTAGAAAGGACAACTCACGTGTGGAACTCGCGATTTTCAACTCCACTGCTCGCACAACCACTCCACCCATCCACCCGCAACTTGGTTTGCAAATCCCATGCGGCGGCGATTGCGATGAGTGCTTCGCGTTGGCTGGTGCATCTCCGCGGCCGCGCCAGCCCGCGCATGCACGCGCGCGTGGCGGCCAGCTAGATTGGCGCGACCGATGCGGCCGCGGTGGCGCTGACCGCTGGCCACATCCCAGCGGGCACTTCAGTGCGAGTCGGCGACTCGGGCGGGCGCGGTACCATGGCAACGTCGACAATGGTAGGCTCGGTGATGATAATAGCGGTGCTGGTGACGATACTGGCACCGACGACGGCATGGCCAGTGACGGCGCGGATGCTGATCACGCCGACGACGATGACGGCGGCCTCGCGTCGGTGATGAAGGTTTTGGAAAGAATTCGACATGCGCGCGCGGACGCGCGAGAGAGGCCCGCATGGAATTATTTGACTGGAATCGTGCCCCCCCCCCCTCCAGCACGCGCGCAAAGGCGCGCGAATGAGTTCGGCATGCTGCGCCACACGCCTTTTTGCCAGAATCCCATGGACATGCTTAAAAACCGGTGGTTTTGTGAAGACGTCGCAAGAGCGCGAGCGCATGACTTTTTGAAAACTAATGTTGCGAAACCATATGTTTTAGATGCTTTCGCGGCACTCGATTTTGAAACCGCTACGAAGCCGAAGGTTTGTGACGGATGTTAGCACGCGAACGCGCGCACCTCGCCCCATTTGTTGCAAAGGATGTTCGCGACGGCACGCGCGCAAGGCCGCTAGAACGATTTCGACACGCGCGCGCGAAGCCCGTTTGGTAGCATTGCCTGACACTGATTTTTTTTTTTTTTTTTTTTTAAAAAAAAAAAAAAAAAAAAAAAAAAAAAAAAATAAAAAAAAAAAAAAAAAAAAAAAAAAAAAAAAAAAAAAAAAAAAACCTTGTTTACTTAAGGATTCGCAAGAACGCGCGCGCAAGTTTTCTTTGAAGATCCGTGTTGCGAAACCCTGTGCGAATGTATGTTGTTTTAGACACTCACGAAACCAAAAGGTGTTTGGAGGATTTCGGCATGCGCGCGCGACGACGCGCGCGTGTGCAGTCGTCCTATAATTTGCAAGGGAGTTGGGGGAACTTGTGATTTTGGATACAAGGCTGCGCGCGCATAAAATATGTTGCAGGGGATGGCGGAGGGCGGATACTGGCTGGGTTTAAATGATATGAATTCAGATGGATCATGAACGATAAGGCAGAATCATATGTAAATTGCAATACGAAAAGTGGGAGCGATAATTCTCTGGGGGGTGGAAATGCTTTTTTTTTTTATAATTTCTTCTCTTTTTCTCTTACTCATCGTACTAGTATTCATGTTATTACTACTATTTTAATTCCTATTTATCTCTTTGTCTTTTTTTATTTCTTTTTTTTTTATTTTCTTATTTCTAGTATTTTTATTCTCTTTTTCCTTTTTATTTCACCTTTTCTCTGTTAAGAAAAGAAAAAACATGCGACGCCGACGGCGGCGACGGGCGGCACCGCCCGCAAAAGACGCCTCTCGCCCCGAGCGGCGGCGACGGCGACGGCGACGGCGACTGCGACGGCGACGGCGGCGACGGGCGGCATCGCCCGCAAAAGCCGCCACTCGCCCCGAGCGGCGGCGACGCGACGGCGACGGCGACGGCGTCGACGAGCGGCACCGCCCGCAACAGCCGCCACTCACGCCGAGATGATTAAGCCAACTAGGAACTCTAAGTGCAAGCACTGTTGGGGAAGATGGAGGGTGGCCAGTCTTCAAAAAGTACTGATCATCAGAGCGTTTCGCACAGTCGACTCAAAGTGCCCTGCAGCTGCAGTGATGCAGAAGGGAACCCTTCCGGAATGGGGCTCCCAGAGACACTGCTTCAATCTGCATTGCAGTATGTAAAGCAGTGTACAGCCGCGACACGGATGGAGGCCGGAACGTCATCATCATCCTCAGCAGCATCATTCCTTTCTCCAGTGGCTCCCACTACCCTCATTATCCTTCGTTACGTTCCCTCCCTCCCTCCTCCTTCCCTCCATCTGGGACGGCGATGCGGCTCTCGACGCTCCCTCGGGCCGAGTCGATCCGATCCGCTCCCCACCTGGCCACGGCATGGTACGGCAGGGCACTTTTACTCTGAGCGTCGCGCGCTCCGCGTCGCGGGATGGGAGTCTAGGGGGCCACATGCGAACCCCACCCCTACCCCCCACGATTTCTGAGGGGGGGGGGGGGGGGTGGGGGGTCACTTCGTTCGGGAGCTCCCGAGCGAAGTGAACCCCACCCTCCCCCTCAGAAATCGTGGGGGGTAGGGGTGGGGTTCGCATGTGGCCCCCTAGAGGCTGGGAAAAGCTGGGCACGTGAAAGTCTGGGGACTGCGAAAAGGACGGCGTGTCGCGCCGAGGCGTGGTGGGCCAGAGCCGGTGCAGCGACACGCCAACCAAAAGTGCCCGACCGCATTTCTCCTCCTCACCGTTTTGGGCCAAGACCACGCCTGGGAACCCCCGACTCGACCGACTGGCCACGGCGACGGGGAGCGGGACCAGGGACGACATCTTCCCCCGACGGCTCGGTGCTGCAGCCCACCTGGGCATGGGCCGGGCGGGCTGGCCAGGCCGCCGTGGCGACGGCACCCGCTGCCAGAGCACGTACGGGGCGGCACGCAGCTTTGTGACGTGGTGACCTGGGCGTTGATCCTGGCGCCGCGTCGATGGCTCAGCCTCGAACGATGCCGCGGCTTTCAGACGGCGATGATCGTCCGCTGCCGGCCGGGTCCGGCCCACAGGCGGCGCTCAACCTTGAGCGTCCGCGCTGGGGTCGCCGCCGCGTCGTCGTCATCGACGATGATGACGACGACGACGACGACGGCGAGAGCTCCTCTCCAAGCAAGAACATCATCAAAACCGTCCAAGTTCAACTGGCTGTGACTGCATGTTTGCCGAGGAAGAGGATATGTTTAGCTGGTGCCTGATCCCCACACTTTCCCTTCAGGCGGCGAGACGACATTGGCATCAAGTCGTGCCACGCTGCCTCTTTAAAGTTGGCAGAGGCTCTAAAAATGAGCCACTTAGCTCTGACGAGCGAGGCGGCGGAAAGACACAGATGACACGAACGCCCCACGGAGGAGAGGGAGGAGAGGGGAGTACGGCAAAATCGTGTTGTACCCGGCCCGGGCACTCATGTCTGACAACGAGTGGATCGTTCAGCCTTGGGCGAGCGCGGCTTCCCGATAGCGCAGATCGTTCGATATCGGCCGGCTCTGGACCTCACAGTGGCATGCAACCTCGAACGCCCGCGCTGGGGTGACCGCCGCATCGACACGGCATGAACCTGAGGAGCGGGAGGAGGAGGCGCAGGACGAGGAGGACGTGGGAAAAAACACACTGGGAAAAAACACACAAACACACACACTGTGGGAAAAAAACAACACACACTGTGGTAAAAACAACACACAGTGTGTGTGTGTGAGTGTGTGAGTGTGAGTGTGTGAGTGTGTGAGTGTGTGAGTGTGTGAGTGTGTGAGTGTGTGAGTGTGTGAGTGTGTGAGTGTGTGAGTGTGTGAGTGTGTGAGTGTGTGTGAGTGTGTGTGAGTGTGTGTGAGTGTGTGTGAGTGCGTGTGAGTGTGTGTGAGTGTGTGTGAGTGAGTGTGTGAGTGAGTGTGTGTGAGTGAATGTGTGTGTGAGTGTGTGTGAGTGTGTGTGTGTGAGTGAGTGAGTGAGTGAGTGTGTGTGAGTGTGAGTTGAGTGAGTGTCACTAGTGGGAGTAAAGAGTGAGTGAGTGAGTGAGTGTGTGTGTGTGTGAGAGTGTGAGTGGGTGTGAGTGTGGTGTGTGTGTGTGGGTGTTTGTGTGAGTGTTTGTGAGTTGTGTGAGTATTGTGTGAGTGAGTGGAGTGGTGAGGAGGGTGCGTGAAGTAGTCGTGCGTGAGTGTGTGAGTGATTGTGTGGAGTGACTCGTTTGCGAGTGTTTGTGCGTGACTGTGTAGTGTGCGTGAGCGTGTGTGCGTGTGTGTGCGTGCGTGCGTGTGTGCGCGTGTGCTGTGTGTGTGGGTGTGCGTGTGCGTGTGCGTTGCGTGTGCGGGTGTGGCGTGTGCGGGTGTGCGTACGTGTGCGTGCGTGTGTGCGTGCGTGTGTGCGTGCGTGTGCGTGCGTGCGTGTGTGTGTGTGTGTGTGCGTGCGCGTGCGTGCGTGCGTGCGTGTGTGTGTGTGAATGTGAATGTGTGTGTGCGTGTGTGTGTGTGTGTGTGTGTGCGTGCGTGTGTGCGTGCGTGTGTGTGTGTGTCTGTAGCATCCCGACAGGGGCAGGCCCGCAGGAGACGCGCCGCGCTCAAGCCGAGGCGGCGACAACACGGCCACGCTGGTTGGTGCAGCCCGCAACTGCACCCTGTGGCCTCGCTGCGACGACCGAGAATCGAGGAAGAGACGACGACGACGAAGACGACGACGACGACGACGCCGAACACCACGACGACGACGACGACGCCGCCCGCCACCGACGACGACGACGACGAGGAGCCCGTCGGCTCGGATTCTCAAAGGGGGCCTTGTGCCCTGTGCTCTCGACGGGCTCGCACGCCCTTGGGCCTGCATCCCCAGGCGAGACGCTACGTGTTTCCTTGCACATTCCTTGCTGCTTGTGCACTGGACATGCGCCCTCCAGACACTTCCTTGGACATGCGCCCTCCTCCTCCCCCTCTTCCTCCTCCTCCTCATCCTCCTCCTCCTCCTCCTCATTCTTCTCCTCCTCCTCCTCCTACTCCTCATCGTTCCCCTCCTCCTCCCCCTCCTCCTCCCCCTCATCCACCTCCTCCACCTCCTCCTCCCCCTCCTTCTCGTCCTCCTCCCTCCCCCTCCTCACCCTCCTCCTCCCTCTCCTCATCCTCCTGCTCCTCCTGCTCCTCCTCCTCGTACTCCTCCTCCTCCTCCTCCTCCCTCCTCCTCCTCCTCCTCCTCCTCCTCCTCCTCCTCCTCCTACTCACTCCCGTTCCTCCAGCTGGCGATACTTATTCAACTTAGTCAGCTGATGTGGCGTGCAGGCACGGTCTTTCAGCATGCACGAGGGTGAAGAACAGCTCCAGCTTGGGAGAGGTGCCCTTTCTGTTCTTCGTGTTTGGACGTTCACCTTGGGATGCTCCTTGTTTAAGCTATCCCCATGGGGCCTCGGACCTTCGTCGAAGGGGCCCTTCTGTTCTTCGTGCTTGGACTTTCGCCTTGGGATGCGCCTTGTGTAAGCTGTCTCCATGGGGCCTCGGACCTTCGCGCGTGTGCCCTTGGTGTTGGCAGTTGGCCACTTTGGCCGTTGGCCAGGGCACGTTGGCCCGCGCTTTGCTGAGCGCCACGGTTTTGTTCCGCCTATTTGGACCTGCAACACTCCTCGGACCTTCGTCGAAGGGGCCCATGTTCTCGACGCACTTTTTTGCGGTCATGTTTGGTGTGTATCTTACACTGACTGATGGAATGGTGGCACGGCTGATGGACAAAACCTTGCCCCACCCGCGCGACCAGGGTGCCAGCGCAAATTTCAACGCGTGCCCTTGCCTCCGATTGAATGTCGGTTTGCATCGCGAGTGTGGCGCAGGGTTTGGGCAACAGATCGACACGTCGTGGCGCGGATTGCTAAATCTTAAATTGGGGGCGCAGGGGAAGAACGCAAGAATCAACATAATTGTGGCGTTCCAGTTGTTGTCAATGGGTGGACTCCCGGAGGTTTGGACATCTTCCCCAGGGCCAGTTCTTCATCACTAGTCGTTGTTTGACGGTCCCGGGGGCCTTTGAGGGCCCCTGGAAGCCGACAGACGCCAACAACCAACCGCTCCAAATGTTTCGGAGCCTCGGATCTCTGGGTTGAGGGTATCGCTGCTATCGCTCGCCGAGGAGCTCACAGCTGAGGTGCAAGACTGTGAAGGCCCGACGGCCGGTGCCGCCGACCCTGAAAGACATCGGCGATGGCCAGGAGGGGAAGGAGGAGGAGGGGAAGGAGGAGGAGAAGGAGGAGGAGGAGGAGAAGGAGGAGGAGGAGGAGAAGGAGAAGGGAAGGAGGAGGAGAAGGAGGAGGAGAAGGAGGAGGAGAAGGAGGAGGAGGAGGAGGAGCTCACAGCCGGGGTGCAAGCTTTCGCCCATCCGCCGCACCCCCAGAGGAGGGGGCCCCACCCTCGCCCGCTCGCAGGCCGTCCTGTGCGTCTCGTTCTCGCCCGACTCGCCCGCGCCCCGGCCCCCGCGCGGCATCGGGCCCGATCCTGGACGGGGCGGCCCGGCGCCCGTGGGGGGGGGGAACGGGGGAGGAGGAGGAGGAGGAGGAGGAGGAGGAGGAGGAGGAGGAGAGGAGGAGGAGGAGGAGGAGGAGGAGGAGGAGGAGGAGGAGGAGGAGGAGGAGGAGGAGGAGGAAGAGGAGGAGGAGGAGGAGGAGGAGGAGGAGGAGGAGGAGGAGGAGGAGAAGGAGGAGGGGGTTCACAAGACATATACGGTAGGTTTGCGTCGTGTCGACCAGCGGCGACCCCAGCGCGGGCGTTCAAGGTTGCACGCCGCCGGCGACCCAGAATCGATCGACGTTGAACGATCGGACGTTGCGGCAGCGGCCGATCGTTCAAGGTTGAACGATCCCTGCGGTGTCAAAAACCAACGCTGGGGTCGGCACGACACGAACCTGCCGTAGCTCTCGGAATCGAGGTCTATAGGTGGTTTTCGTCGAGGCCCTAGCGGTTTTCCAGCCTCGGGGTGCGCTCCAGCAGCTGCGCCTCGCCGCGGGCGTTCGCGCGGGGCCCGGCTCGTCCCGAACGGGTGACGGAGACCTGGGTTGCGACCCGAGAGTTGGTCGACGAGCATCATTCTGGGGCAGTGGTCAGCGGCAGATCGCGATGACCCTCAGCCGCCCATTCGTCGCCGAGAGGCGCCCGATGGCCCACCCCGCCCAGGAGCGTGCGGATTCGCCGTCCTGGTCGTGTCGCCGACCTCTCGGCGATGTATCGCCGATTCTGGTCAGGAGGGAAAGAAGCACACAGACACAATGAATCGTCGATTCCCGAGAAAATATTGGAAAATATGGGAAGTGGGGGGGAAGACAGAAACCCAGAAACTATGGGAAAATATGGGGGATATTTTTATTTGTGTGTATTTATTTGTGTGTCCCAGGGCCACTTCATCTGGCCGGGCCGATCCTGGGCCCAGGGCGCGCATGGCCAGGCCCAGCGCGGTGGACTGGTGACGTCCCCCCGAGAAGCATCCAGTGGCGTTGCCGCGCGCGCCCAGGCGAGCGCCTTGGGGGGGGGGGTCGCCCAGGGGCGCGCACGCCGTGGGATTTCGGACGCCCTGGGACGGGAGTCAATGCCAGTGGGGGTCAGCCAGAGCGCCAGACATTGCAGGATCCTGCAGAGCCAGGGTTGCACTGACCCGGGCTGGCGCGCAGGGTCCTGCAAGATCCTGCAGGATGTCGCAGATCCTGCAAAGCCTGACTGACCCGGGTTGGCATTGATCCGGGTCAGTGCGTCCCAGAGGATTAGTCACTGGAGGTGTTACCGGGTATTGGCTCTGGCGGGGGGAGGTTCGACGTTGCGAGTTCCAGGACCGCGCTGGAATCGCAGGAATCGGGGTTCTGGGCTCCCTGTAGAATGTTTCGAGGTCATCTTGGTGCGTCGACGTGTGGTTGGCTTGGCGCAGCGGCTGTCGGTTGGACTGCGCGTTCTGGCGGTGGCTCTGCGGAACTTGTTGAGGCAGCGGCGCCAGGCTGACTGCGGCAGGTTCGCGCCCCCTTGACCATGCGGCGACCTCAGCGGCGCGGGCCTTCAAGGTTGGAGCGCCATTCCTCCTCCTCCTCCTCCTCCTCCTCCTCCTCCTCCTTCAGTGCCGAACGATCTGAGCCACCAGAAGGTCGCAATCGTGCGAGGTTGAACAGTTCACGCGGTGTCGCAAGCCAACGCCGACATTATAGTGACGCGAATATGCCGTCCTCATGGGCTGTCGAGGGAACCCAAGCCCGCGCGCCTCCAACGAGAAAATCGCACGTGGGGGGGGGTGTTGTGTTGGGGGCTGGTCTCGATGCGCGTTGGCGAGGGGTCCTGGAGAAGATGTCGGACCGTGTATCATCCTCCACCTTAACTCCAGAGGGTCTTTAATGCTGCCGCCCCCCCCCCCCTAAGCGCTCGGCTGGCAATTAAACACATTGTTATCCTCGTCCGTCCCCTCATCATCATCACTATCATAGATCCTCATCCCCCCGATCATCAGTGATGGTTGCCGCTAGGAAGTCATTATTTCCCCTGTACTGTTTAGATCCCAGTCCGCCAATGAGCCCGCGCAGCCAAACAAAATCCCCATCATTGGGGGTATGATAGAGCCTTCCTGCCTCTTCCCCATCCACCTCGCATCCATGTCTCACCCCATTCCATCTGGTCGGCTCTCTTACTGCTCGGTATCCCTGTGTCCTTGCCCCACCTTCCCTCCGCTCCCATCCCAACTCCCAAATACTCGCTGGTCGTCGGTGGTTTTGGGATGTTCCAGATCTCAATCTACGTTAGGCGCCTTCCTACTTCAATGATCGAGAGGGCTTCCCTCGTTCCTCTTATTCAGGGGGCGGGCGGAGATCCAATATACTTCATGTTTCTACACACTTTTTCCGACCGACAGGTATGATCTTCATGTCATTTCTCTTTCTTATAGATACGTCCATCTTCCTCGCCCTCCCCTCTCCTTACAATCCCCTCCCGTCTCTTCCCCCCGTTC